GAGAGCCGCCTTCCTTCCTCTCTGCAGAGACGCGCCGTCCCGCCAGGCGCCGCGGGCCCGCGGGGCAGGCCGTGAGGCGTGGAAGTGAAGAGGCGGCGCCGACGAATTGCGAGGGCAGGCTCCCGATGATTTTCCGGTTGCAGAAACGAGTTTATGATTCGTGAAAAACCACAGGGCGACCCCAGAGTTTTTTCTGTTGTTTTTCTTCCGGGGGGCCCCCTCCCGGAGCCCCCAGCAGAACTTTCGGAACAAACCGAAGTTTTTGTTGTTGTTGTGTGGTTCTTCTGGGCGGCTTGCAATCATACTGTTGTTTTGAAGCGTGGGCCCCCCGGGCGGCGGAAAAGCCTCAGATGCTAGTTTCTTCCCCCTCCCCCGGAAAAACCACCCGAACAACCTCCGAACAACCTCAGGATAAACTCGAGTTGGTTTTTTTTTTCGGGGGCGCCCCCCGCCGGAAAGTCCCAGAGCAAACAATGAACATCACAAGAAGCAACCTAGAACACTGAAACATAACAACCCGCGAGTTGGGGGGGTTCGGGGGGGGTAGCTCGAATGGCGATTCGAAAAGGGTTTGCCCGGTCGTTCCCGGGGGCCCCCGAACAACCTCGGTTTAACAAACAATAGTTTTTTTTTGTTTTCCCCAGGGTGTTTTTTATCAAACATACTTTGGTTTTAAAGTGTCGGGCCACGGAACTCCCCCAACAAAGACCCCGAGCCCCCCCCCGCTCCGGGGCCCTTGGGGGAAAACCGTGGATCAACTTCCCAACTCGGGTTTGTTTCGGGCGTTTCCCCGGGGGATTTCAGGTACATTGCGCGCCAGTCTCCGTTCCAGAGCGTTCGGGAACGCCTTCAGAGCGCTGCGAAACGCTCCGAGAAGGCCGCGGCGCCCGATGCGTCTTCCAGCGTTGCCAGACCTCAGAGATCTCCGATCGAGGGGGAGGTCTTTCGTTTTGCACACCCCCTGTTTCGTTCGGCGGGGAAGGAGCTTGCCCGTCCTCCTCCTCCTCCTCGCCGTCTTCGTCGTTGTTTTCGTTGTCGTCGTCGCGTCGGAGATTTTTTTCCCTCGCTTGTTGGGTGGGCTTGATAATGTTGGGGGTATCTCTTTCCCAGGGAATAATCCATTGTGGGCTACCTTGACAGGACTTGTGAGCATCTTCTCATGAGGGTTGCAGTGATATAGTTACCAGTTTCCAGCTACTTTTAAAAGGGGTTCCATAACCTTAGCAAGGCGATCCTTGTCCGATGTTGTCCCTGTCCTGTCTGCGGCTTGCTGGGGTCCCCATTTCCCCCTCGTGGCAGTGCCCCAGGGGCGGTTCCGCTGCGTCCGCCGCCGGGGGAGGGGCAGCTTCGTCGGCCTCAGGAGGGCCCCGTGCAGGGCGCCCCCCGGGGCCCGCCCCGACCAGCACGCTTGACCCGCGGGAGCGGCGTGCCGACCGTGCCTCGTGGGCGGGGAACGGATCTGCATCTTGGGATACAATTCCTCGGAGGTTGCATTCAGAATCGGCGTTCGCATTCTCTGGATCTCGTATAAAAAGCGGGGGGATCTGCATGTGTGTGGGGGGCCGACGGGCCTCGTCAGAGAAAACTGTTTGGGGGTCTCGATGTTGGATCCGTTGTTGCACCGCTCTTGGGGGTCCCCGACGCTGCCAAACACTTTTTTGACCCACCCCCCGCTGTATTGTGAGATTTTGAGTATCCCTGGTCGAATACTGGCCGAATCCTGCTTAATCCAGCTTAATCCCGCTTGATCGGGGTTAGCCCCGCTTCGTCCAGCTTTACCCCGGGCTGAATCCAGCAAGATCTGGCCCGATTGCTCCATCATCGGGTTTTGGCCGTTAGTTGTTCTGGCGAAGACGTCCCGGGACCTTGGAGTTGCTTCATACATACCCAAGCCGACGTTGATCTTTTTTTGGATAAAGAATATGAGAACACCGATGGATCCAATTTGATCCCTTTTCGGGTGTGCGATTGTGTCGTGAATCGTAACTTTTGCTTTGCGCGGATCCAATTCCCCGCGTGTGACAAACCAATCAAACCATATATTTCCCAGGAATAAATAGGGGAGAGGGGTACCTCACAGGACGGAGAGGGGAAGGCGGAGGTAGGAGGCACGAAAAAGGGGGAGGAGGGGAGACGGGACGGGAGGAGGGAAGAAAGAGGAAGAACGATCAGGGAGGAGTGGGGGAGGGAGGAATAATGGGGAGGAAGAGGAGGAGGGATGAGCGATGCGGATGGAGGAAAGAGGAAGGAGGAGGAGGTGGGGGGAGGAGGGAAGAGGTGGGAAGAGGAGGGAAAAGGAGGGAAGAGGGAGGACGGGGAGCATGAGGACACACAAGCAAAGTGTAAAGATCGGAAGTTCGAGCACCACAGCGCGCCCGGCCAACCCCCTCAACTCCTCCCATAAAATGTGGTTGCTCGAGCGCCACAGCGGGCCTGGCCATCTCCCAGAAATCCTCCCATAACACAAGGGTGCTCGAGCGCCACAGCCGGCCTGGCCAACTCTCGCAACTCCTCCCTCTAAGATATGGCACGCCCCGAGCCGAAGAGAGCGCTACGTGTATCTGCTCATCTGAATGGCGCGTCGCTTCCAACACTTGGGGCTCAAGAGGAAAATCTGTCGGCCTGCGTGAGTAACATGCTCACGGCCTGGTGGGCCGGGCCACGGGCCCGCAACCCCCACGGAACACGATGTTTGTTTCTCTGCGGATGCCCCGCGTGGAACGTGCACCCGTGTGGACGGGCGTCCATTGGATACCGCCCTCCTGGAACCCAGACCGCGAGGGCGCGGATGTGGACATGCTCGGCGCTCGTGGATGCCTCGCCCCTCCCTCCCAGAGGCCAATCTGGCATCACCCAAGCATACTTTTATATGTGTGCGTCGGCCCCCCAGGGACGACCCGCGCGCTCTCAGAAATCCTATAGGATATGCTCGGTTGGCGGCGTTTTTTGGCCACGCCGCCTGGGTTTCTGTACTATATGTTCGGTTCGGGCGTGCGCCTTCAGGGTGGGCACACAGCACTAGCATGTCCCTAAGCGTCCCGTCGACGGGAGCGCGGAGCCACGATCGCTGCGAGCCCAGAGCAAGGCATTCTCCCCTGTCGTCGCCACTGACCAACATCAGTGAGTCATATCGCAAATTGTCGATTTCGGTCTTTATTGTTTTTGAAATCCTTTGAAAAGCTTGCGGGAACAGCTGGTTCAATTTTCCAAAACCACATGTCGTGCCAGATTCGCATTATCATTGCGATGGCTTCTACGTGCCAGAAGTTTCGCATCGACAATGGGCGCCCCCAGTATTGCGCTATCGCGCTGGAACTTCTTGGAGATGCTATCATCCGGTTTTGCGTCTTGCGCGGCAGGTTGGGGCGGATCGCGGCGCACTTCTCGCGCGAGTGGTGGGGGTCGGCCTAGGGTTCAGCACTGCTCCGGGCGGGGACGCAAGGTTCGCGTCGGCGACTACACACGGGGGGGGGTCGCTGGGGTGTGGCGCCTTTGTGGCATGGGGCGGGCAACGCGCTGCCCTCGTCGGGCCAACCCCGGGGCGCGGCGCAGAGCTCCGCCGAGGTCGTTGCGCCCGCCCCCCAGGGGTGCAGCCTGCAGACCACGCCCTCTGCAAACGACGCCCTCGGGAGTCGCCGATCACCACCCGCCAAGCCCCCCCCAACCGAACGCGAAAGCTTCAATTTGCTTTCTCTTTCCAGGAGGGGGGGTGGTCGGGGAACCTTGAGAAAACGCATCTGGAGCCAAACCATGACATGCATTCTGAGGTCCGCGCGGATTTTTCGGATCGGCGTTGGACCCTGGCGCGCAGAGCGCGCAAAGGGCGGCGCCGTGGGCGGCGCCGGAGGCGCCGCCAGGGGGCTCCAGCGCCGATCCGAGGAACCCGCGCGGACCTCCGAGTTTCTATGTTTTGGCCATTCTTCGTTCCCCCGAACGCATCTGGAGCCCGTGCCCCCCCAACCCGAAATTCTGGTTTTCGGGCTGGTGTGGGGTGGTCCGGTAGGTGCTCCGCCGATCGTGGCGCGCCCGCTCGGCCCGTGCGACCTGCTGCGCGCGCCCGGGCGGGCCCGTCCGGGCCGGGCGCCGCGGCGCGACGCCGGCCTGCTCGGCACGCCGCCGGGCGGGCCTGCCAGGGCGCCCTGCGATCCGATTCGCTGCGATTCGATTCGCTGGCTGCGGCCGCGCCTCGAGTTCGATGCGATCCAGCTCTGTTCACCTGCGTCGGCCAGGGCCGGCCGGAAGCGAGGCGCGGCGATTCGATGCCGATCCGGTTCGGGACGATTCGTTGGCGATTCGATCCGCTCTCGATCCGATCCGATTTCGCGGTCCGATCCAGCGCAGGCCTGCCTGCTCGGCACGCGCGCGGCCGCCGTCCGCCCGTCGACGGAAGAGGCGCGAGGGCCGTGGCCAGGATGCCGCGGGATATCGTCGACGCCGATGTTGGTCACGGTCCGTGTTGGCCGTCGCCGATCTGCGAAGAGGGTCCACGAGGCGAGGATCATCAAGATGGGCCATGGCAGAGATCGGCGTTGGCGTTCCCGCGTTCAGTCTCGGCCATGGTCCTGGTCATCTTTTATGCCCCTCCAACCATCGCGCCAGGTGGGGTCCGCGTTGGTGGCGTCGCCGCATGGATCGGCCCGGGTCCTGTCCTGCCCCCCACCAGCGTGCGAGAGCGCGCGGCGTCGGGCGCGTCAGTGTCTTCCCCTCTGCGCTGCACGTCTTCGCAGGTGTGCCCCAGCTGCTGGCCAGGGCTCTGCGCATGGCGCCACCCACGGGTTGGCCACCCCTCTGGTGCTGGCCCAGTGGGGGGGTCCCCCCGGCCGCTGAGCTCGATGCGGCGTCAGCGGCCTCCGCGCTCGGGTTTGGCCCCCCCGCGCCCAGGGTCACTCTTGCCTCGGGTCACCGTTGCCGCCTTGCGCGTAGCCGGGCAGACAGGGGGGCGGTCGGTGCCCATGCAGATCAGTGCAGGCTCGCGGGTTCGTGCCAGTTGCCCGTGGCAGGCCGATCTTGCCAGTGTTCGAGCGCAGCAAGATCGCGAGCCACAAGGCTGGCCTGCGTGTCTCTTGTGTGCGGTCATGGAGCACACGCTATGGAGGATTAGCATGTTGAGCAACGATGAATTCGTGAGTCACACTGCTGGCCTGCATTTCTGTTGTGTGCGGTCATGGAACGCAAGCGTTGGAGGTTTAGCATGGTGAGCAGCGGTGAACGTGCAGAGCGAGCGGCATGGTAGAGCAGTTCGGGGTCCCCCAAACGGTGTGGTGACCACACCGCGTGGTGAGTCAGTTGGGGATTCGGGGTCGCCGCACGGTTTTGAGAATCGGGTCGTTCTCCGCGAATGTCTCGGGCGACTGGGGCCTCCAGTGTCCCAACTCGTTCGGTCCGTCAACACACGGTTTTGGGGCCCCGAAGCAGTAGCTGTGCCAGCGAAAGGTGGGCAATCAAGGTGTAAGTTGCGCAGGGGTTGCCTTTTCCTCCTTCCGTTTCCGCCCCCTCTCTTTCCACCTCCCCCTTTGTTCGAGCAAACGTGAGATTGGAGTGTGCCAGAATCGGTGTTTGCCGTCGCTTCTGAGTGCCGTGGCGTGAATGTCGAGGGGCGGGGAGGACGGGGATGGGCTAGGAATTCAAGAAGGGGGAGACGGGGCTTGCCGACTGCACCAGGATGCGAACGGGAGGGTAAACGCACTCTACTCCATGTCCGAAGGACGACATGGGATGGTTCTCTCCTCCGTGGGCGCCACGCGCCGTGGTCGTCGTCGTCATCGAGGGGAAGGAGTTGGAAGGAGGAGGAGGAGGAGGAGGAGGAGGAGGAGGGGGAGGAGGAGGAGGAGGAGGGGGAGGAGGACGAGGAGGAGGAGGAGGGGGAGGAGGAGGAGGAGGATACGGAAGCGGAAGCGGAGGCGGAGGCGGAGGCGGAGGAAGAGGAAGAGGATGAGGAGGAGGAGGATGAGGTTGAGGAGAATTTGGAGGAGGGAGGGGAGGAGTTGGAGGATGAGGAGGAACCATGATACGGTTAATGCTTGTACACATAAGGACACTTTTGCGAATTATATTATTCAGCCCGGCAATACGACGAGCCAAAACAGTACCGCGATCACTAATTATAAACAGACGAATGCGAACATACAACTAATTCGGATCATTCTACGATGACCATTTGTACTAGTAGCAAGGAAACCGGTACTAGTATGACGATACTTCCTAAGACTATTCATCATACCAATACATCGAACAAAAGGAACACTGGTGCCGATCCTAATCATGCTAATCATGCAACTGCCATTACTAATGATATTGATAAACATGCCGCGATTCATAATGCCACTGGGGAAATGAGTACGAACGGTGCTAAACGAACACTACGACTAATACGATGCATATCGGTATTCAGAATTTCAAAACGTGATTAAGCATGATACGGGTGAAAGGGGACTGCCTGCATCCGGGAAGGTCTTGCAAACTTTTAAGACGAACGTGCGCGTCGCATCCACATTTTGAACAGGTACCGCCCTCCATCCGAGAAACTCACGCACACCTTTTAAGACGAAGGTGTGCGGCGCTAAGGCGGCAACCACATTTTGAAAACGGCCCGCCCCCGATCCGTAAGCTCTTGCGACCTTTTCAGACACATGTGCGCATCGCTAAGGCGCTACATCCGAGAAGGTCTTGCACACTTTTAAGACGAATGTGCGCGGCGCTAAGTCGATAACCACATTTGGAAAACGGCTCGCCCCCAATCCGTGAAGCCCTTGCGAACTTTGAGACGAACGTGCGCGGCGCTGAGGCGAGGACAGCATTTCGAACACCGCCCGCCCGCAATCCGTGAAGCTGCTGCGAATTCGAAGCTTCAGGATCTCACATGGGGAGGAAAGCTCAGGCGAAACGCCCAGTTCGCCCTCCCGACCCGTCTCGGGGTGCGGCCGGGAGAAGTCGTATATATGGAAGAGGGATTGAGGAGGAGGAGGAGGAGTAGGAGGAGGAGGAGGAGTAGCCTTGTCCTCAGTCTTCGTCCTCCGCCTTCTCCCCTCCTGGATGGACGAGAGAAGGAACAGGGATGAACAGGAGGAGGACTTGAGGTAATGTGGCTCTGGGGCGCCTTACCTCCGTTAGTGGGCCCAGGTTCTTGGAGTCACGCCCCTGTAGGGCACGGTGGCCCGATGTGGCATACGGCCTGGGCTCATCTGGGTCCAGAACGCAATGGCTGGGCCAACGAATCAAGAGAGCCTGCGCACCGTGAGCTAGGCACTGCGGAGGACGAGGAGGAGGAGGATCAGGAAGAGGAGCAGGAGGAGGAGGAGGACGAGGACGAGGAGGAGGAGGAGGAGGAGGAGGTGGAGGGGCGAATGGGACGGGGGAACGGTGGAGTGAGTGAGTGAGTAGGGAGGAGCGACTTGGCGGAGGAGGAGGAGGAGGAGGAAGAGGAGGAGGAGGAGGAGGAGGAAGAGGAGGACGCTTTGTCTCGTCTTGCTCTCTACTCTCTTCTCGCCGATGTCTCGTCGCCTTGTTTCGCCGTCCTCCCGATTGGCCATCGTCGGTGCTGCCGCGCTCTTGCCCTGGTGCGTTGGATCCCACCGAGGGGCCGCGTAGTCGGCTGCTGGAGGAGGATGATAATGAGCATGATGAAGAGGAACAAGTGGCGAGGAGGAGTAGGAGTAGGGGCCAAGTTGGTCGGGTCTCGGGAGTCAGAGGGCCCCGCCTACTCTCACCATCCCTCCCGCGACATGAACATCCGTTGGGGCACACCATGATATTGCGATTGGAACGCGCTCCCACCTCGCAAGCGGAAGCGGCTCGCGCGCGGCCCCCGCGTCCAGCGGCTTGGCGACGAGAACGCTGCGCGGGCCGCGCAGGGGTGGGCGCGGCAGAGCTCTCGGTGGGCGGCGAGGACGCGCTGCCGGTCTAAAACTCGCACACACACTGCGCGGCGCCCGGGCGACGTCGCTCGGCACTTCGCCCGCTCGCGCGCGGCCCCGCTGCCGCCACCGCTCCTCGCTGCGCCTCGGCGCACGCGCCGCGCGCCGCGCGCCGCGCGCCGCGCGCCGCGCTGTGAAGCGCCGTGGGTCCGAGCCGGGTGCGCACGGAGCCTCGGGGCCAGGGGCCACGCGTCGCCCGCCTCGCACGGGCCCCCCCCCCCCCAAACGCTGGCGAGCGGCAGACCTGCGCCGCGTCGAGGCGGGAGCGCCACCCTGCGTGCGAGATGGGGGGCCACGTGCGAACCCTACCCCTACCCCCCACGACTTCTGAGGGGGAGGGTGGGGTTCACCTCGCTCGGGAGCCTCGCTCGGGAGCTCCCGAGCGAGGCTCCCGAGCGAGGTGAACCCCACCCTCCCCCTCAGAAATCGTGGGGGGTAGGGGTAGGGTTCGCACGTGGCCCCCTAGCGAGAGCTGCGCGCGGCGCCGAGGCGACGACGGCGTCCTCGGCCGCTCGCGCGCCGCCGCGCCGCTGCGTGCGTGCGGGAGACGCGCGCCGCGCCCCGAGTGGGGGAGCCCCCTGCTCGAGGCAGAGGGGCCGGGCGCGCCGAGGCGACGGCGACGCTTCGGCCCTCCGCGCCGGGCGTGTGTCCCGTGTCGCTCCGGCCACGCCTCGGGGCATCGTTTCGATGCCTCCGATGCGATTCGATTCGACTCCGATGGCTTCCGGTTCCGATTCGATTCGAGTTGGGATTCCGATTCGGGCTCCGATTTCTCACTGGAGGCGTACTGGCCTCCCGATCTCCGCCGATTCGGCTTTCCCCGACTCGGCTGCCGATTCGCGCCGATCCGTCTCATGTCGATCGCCGATCTGATTTATCGATTCGATTCTGGGCTCTCCTGATGCATTTTTCATCATGGACGAAAACAGAGACTGTGTACTCCTCTTTTGCAGGCAGGATGGGACCTTTCAGATTTGGCGGCTATCGGCTGGCTGAGTGGCAGAGTGGGGGCACATACGACGAAAGAACAGGGATGTGGGTCCACTTTGCCAGGTCGAGGGAGTCAGAGGACACCGTCTACTCGTACCCTCCCCCCCCACAACAGAAGCCTCAGATGGGGCACACCATGATTTCGTGGTTGGAACGCACCCCCGCCTCGCAAACAGAAACGGCTCGCGCGCGGTCCCGCTTCCCACGACCTGGGCGAAGAGAACGCTACGCGGGCCGCGCAGGGGTGGGAGCGGCAAGACTTCTGGCGGGCGCGGCGGAGGCGAAACATGGGCTGCGCTGGCATGGCGGTGCCGGTTTAGTTCGCACGTTGCGCGGCGTTTGGGCGAGGTCGGCGTTGCGCTTCGCGCGGCCCCGCCAACGCCGTCGCTCTCTTGCGCCTTGGCGGACAGGCCATGCGCCGCGCGCGCGCGCTGGAGCGCCGTTTCCAGGCCAGCTGCGCACGGAGCTTGGGCGGGGGCGACAGGTCGCCACCTCGCGCGGGCCCCCCTCCCCCCCCCTAACATTGGCGAGCGGCAAATCTGCGCCGCGTCGAGGCAGGACCGCCACTTTACACAAGGGAGGAAAAACCACCCGGACCGGACAATTGGCGCTTACTAACCGGCTCTGGGCGTTTACGAAACAGCCCTGCCCCGTTTGATTCTTCCTTTGGGGGCGCTTGCTGAAACGGCTTCGCGTGTCGGGGTGGGCAATATTTCGGGCTCAACTCTTGGGAGGTCAAATTCTGATTTTGCCCTGGTCCGAAAGCCGGCGCAATCCCGCTTCATCCAGCTGAATCCCGCTGAATCCCGCTTAATCCGGCTTATAAGCCGAGGCCCACTCCAGCGTAGCAGCCCCCCAGGGAGGCTTACTTCCTCTGCAGCCCTCCCGACGAAAACCTCCCAGCAGTTGCCTCCCGAGTTATCAAATCGGGGCGGGTTTTCTGCCCCCTGTTTACTGCGAGCTCTGCGCGGCGCCGGGGCGACGGCAACGTTTTTTCGGCCGCTCGCGCGTCGACGAGCACGCGTATGCAGTGCCGGTTTTTTACCACATGCTCCGCGTGCGGATCATGTATGAAACATGCAGGGGTTTAGTCTTAAAAACAACGATGAGTTCATTGATCAATTTATTGATCAATTCATCATGCATTAAGAATCCTATATGTTAAACAATCCCATGTATCAACAACTGCCCCGTACGCAGGGAGTGCGGCGCCGCGCCCTGGGGTGGGAGCCCAAGACTGCGCAGCGGGACCGCGGGCGCGGCGCCGCGGCGAAGGAGCACGACAGCGGGGCCCCTCGTCGGGAGCTGGGACACGTACGCTGCCAGGGGCGGGCTGTTTCTCCATCCCGGGGCTTTGTGAGGGTCGGGGGCGACGTCGGGGCGGTGTGGTGTACACCTTAGGCGATGCTTAAGAAAACCTAAGTTTTCGGCCATAGTCTCGATTATTCTTAATATTTCAATGTAAATCTTAAGGTTTTAATGGAAACGTTGGGTTTTTATTCAAGTTCTGAGACTATGAATTTCTTAACCCATGATTTCTTAAGCATTTCGCAGGGTGTATACTTGCTGTTCAGTTTCCCAGGAGCCAGCGAACAATGGATACACCAGGGTCCCGTATACACCAGGATCCGCTTTCCTGTGCGAGTTTCAGTGCGGGGCCGGAAGAGGCGTCGGTGTATAGAGAGTTCGGCTCCTTACTTCGCGCGAGACGCGTACCACGTCCCAGTCTTGCCACGCACTTGCAGCACGGACGGCGTGATGTCCGGGTGGAGCCGAAGGACATCGACTCTGTGGCTTTTTCCAGGCAGGATAGGAGGGTCCGGATTGGGTCGCAGTCGGTCGGCTAGGTGGCAGAGCGGGAGTATATAGTAATACGGCGTAGGGATATGCATAGGAGGAGAAGGAGGAAGCTATGGTGGAGGGGGAAGAGGCGTAGGAGGGGGAGCAAGAGGAATCTATGGTGGAGGACGAGGAGGGGAGAAGGACGGAGGACGGAAGACGGATGATGCTGATGATGATGATGCTGCTGATTATGATGATGATGATGATGTTGATGTTGATGCTTATGCTGATGCTGATGATTATTATGAGGATGATGAGAGGGAGGATGAAGAGTACGAGCAGGATTAGGAGGATGAGAAGGAGGATAAGGAACACGAAGGGGGCAGAAGAGGAGGATGATGGGAAGGAGGATGGAGGAAGATGAAGGGATGATGTTGTTGATGATGATACTGATGATGATGTTGATGCTGCTGATGATGTTGAATATGATTACGACGACGGCGACGATCATGATGAGAATGTTCATGATGAGGAGAACGATGTTGATGGTGCAGTTGATGGTAACGATGATCATTACGACGATGGTGACGATGATGATATGCTGCGGATGATGATGATGATGATGATGCTGATGATGATGATGATGATGATGATGATGATGATGATGGTGGTGAGCATTCTGATGATGATGCTGATGATGATGCTGATGATGATGCTGATGCTGATGCTCGTGGTGGTGATGATGGTGATGGTTGGGGTATATGGTGCTGGTGATGACGGTGACGATGGTGACGATAACGCTGACGACGATGATGATGCTGATGATGATAATGCTGCTGCTGATGCTGATGATGGTGATGATGGTGGTCGTGATCACGATGCTGCTGCTGCTAATGATGATGATGCTGATGCTGATGCTGATGATGATGATGATGATGATGATGATGATGATGATGATGATGATTATGGTGATAATGATGATGAACATGGTGGTGGTGGTGAGCATGATGACGACGGCGATGATGAGGATGCCGATGCTGATGCTGCTGCTGCTGATGCTGATGCTGAGTATGATGATGATGATGCTGATGATGCTGATGCTGATTATTATGATGCTTATTATTATGATGATGTTAATGACTACGATGATGATGATGATGATGACGACGATGATGGAGAGGATGATGATGACGATGATGTTGATGATGATGTTGATGACGATAAGGACGGAGGTCATGATAATGATTCCGATGCCGATGATGATGACGATGGCGATGATGTTGATGATGATGCTGATGCTGATTGTGATGATACTCATGTTGATGATGCTGATGATGATGATGATGATGATGATGATGCTGATGATCATGATGCTGATGCTGCTCATGCTTATGTTGTTGCTGGTGGTGGTGGAGGTGGTGATGATGATGGTGAGGATGGTGATGATAATGCTGATGACGATGATGCAGATGATGTCGATGATGATGCTGACGATGATGATGATGATGATGATGATGATGATGATGATGATGATGTTGCCGATGCTGATGGTGATGATGATGGTTTTGCTGCTGCTGCTGGTGATGAGGATGATGTTGATGCTGCTGCTGCTGCTGATGATGACGAGGCTTATTCGTTAGGATGATATGATGATGCTGCTGATGATGATGATGACAATGATGATGATGATGATGATGATGATGATGATGATGATGATGATGATGATGATGATGATGATGATGCTGATAATGATGGTGCTGCTGCTGGTGCTGATATGTATGCTGATGATCGTGATGCTGCTGATGATGATGATGATGATGACGATGACGACGACGACGATGATGCTGTTGCTGATGCTGATGCTGCTGCTGATGCTGATGCTGCTGATGATGGTGTTGATTAATGATGGTGCTGATGCTGATGCTGATGCTGATTATCATGATGATGATGCTGATACTGATGATAATTGTGCTGATGCTGATGATGATGCTGGTGCTGTTGCTGATGCTGACGATGCTGATGATGACGATTATGATGCTGATGCTGATGATGATGCTGCTGCTGATGATGATGCTGATGATGATGATGCTGATGATGATGATGGTGATGATGATAGATGATGATCATGCTGATCATGATGATGATGATGCTGATGACGATGCTGATGATGCTGATTATGCTGCTGCTGATGCTGATGCTGGTGATGATTATGATGATGCTGCTGATGATGACGATGCTGCTGATGATGCTGCTGATGATGATGATGGTGCTGATGCTGATGCTGATGATGAAAATGATGATTATGTTCATGATGATGATGATGATGATGATGCTGATGATGATGCTTATGATGATTATGATTATGATGTTGTTGATGATGAAGATGATGATGCTGCTGATGATGATGCTGATGATGATGATGGTGATGCTGATGATGAGGATCAGGATGAGGATGCGGATGAGGATGAGGATGATGATGCTGCAGATGATGATGCTGATGATGATGACGATGATGATGATGATGGTGGTGGTGGTGGTGGTGATGATGATGATGCTGATGGTGATGATGATGCTGATGATGCTGATGATGATGATGATGATGATGATGATGATGATGATGATGATGATGCTGATGGTGATGAAGGGCAGGAGGAGGAGGAGGAAGATGAGGAGGAGGAGGAGGCGGAGGAGGAAGAGGAAGGGGAGGGGGAGGGGGAGGGGTAGGGGTAGGGGTAGGGGGAGGTGCAGGACGGTTAATGGAAGGGATGCTGCTGCCGCTGATGACGGTGGTTATGCTGTTGCTGCTGATGATGGAGGCGCAGCCCAGGGGTCGGAGCAGCGGCGCCGCAGCTGCGCGGCACCCCAGGCCAGGGGCCGCAGCCCTTCGGCCGACAGCGAGGCCAGCACCGACGTGGGCGCGCCGCCATCGGACAGCCGGGGAGGAGGAGGATGAGGAGGAGGAGGAGGAGGAGGAGGAGGAGGAGGGGAAGGAGGAGGGGGAGGGGGAGGGGGAGGAGGATGAGGAGGAGGAGGAGGAGGAGGAGGAGGAGGAGGAGGTGGAGGAACGGGATGGGGGAGGGGGAGGGAGGAGGAGGACGAGGAGGAGGAGGAGGAGGAGAAGGAGGAGGAGGAGGAGCACGAGGATCGAAGAGCAAACAGGACAAGCATGCACTTTTTCAGGTCCGCGCGGTTTTCTTGGTCCAAGCCGCTCCCAGACCCCCTCGCGTGGTGAAAGTCACGACGGAAGGTTGCTTGCCATTTTCGGCTTCTGGGGACTCGCCATGCCCCAGGATTGTCCAAACACGACTCGGGATGAAGCACTTTTCCCACGGAATGGGTCCAGACCTCTCGGGGACAACGATGTGACAAAAGTCAGGGTGCCGGGGGTCTGGGATGCGGCACGATGCCCTCACAGGCGCTGCTCTGTGCACCGTCGGTGCGGCCGACCCGATCCGACTTCCCTGCTCTGTGCCAATGCGGCCCGATCCGACGCAGGTTAAGATACGACCGTACTCTTCACGATTCGAAGTTGATTAATTCGAAGCGGGGAAATCGGTATAGACATAAGCTCTCGGATGTCCGCGCGGATTTCTTGGATCGGCGCTTGGCCCCCCTCCCTAGCGTGCTGAGCGCGCCAAGGGCGGCGCCGAAGGCGCAGCCGGGAGGGCCCCAGCGCCGACCCAAGAAGTCTGCGCGGACCTCCCGAGAAGATTTATGTTGTGCCGTTCTATTTGTCTTCGAGGGCGGATCCTGTTCGAAACGGGCAGGAGCTGCTACAGTGGATACCCCTGCCAAGAAGCACCCTGCGTGCCTCCAGGGCGCCCTGGGTTTCTTGGGTTTCGAAGGTTTTGTGGTGGAGAGCGTGGCGCTCCCACACCAAAAAAGAAATGGGCGTCCCAGGGTCTCAGGGTTGGGTTTCTTGTGGAAGGTTTCTTGTGGTCAGCTCTGGGGCCCTCGCCAGGCCTCGGGACTGTCAAACAACGACTCAGGACGAAAAGCTGGCCCTAGGGAAGTGGGGCCCACGCATCGAAAACATTGGAGCGGCTGGATGTCTGGGTTTTTCAAGGATCGATGCGCTTGTGCCGTGTTCTGTCCTTATTTGGGAGGGCCCTGAACCCAATCTACTTTGTCCACCTTCCTGCTTCATGTTCCGCCGTCGTGGTGGGCGCCGCCGTCGCTAACAGGGGGTCAGCCAGCCCAGGATTGGGAGCCACGGGGGGCCCCTTCGCTGCGAGACCGAACGTGACACGCTCGGTCTCGCAGGTTTTCTCATAGAAGGCCGTGCTTCCTACAAGCTCCCTGGCAGGCCTTCTGAGAAGTCACCTGGTTTCAGGCCTGAAGAAGCTTCTCGGAAGGCCAGGGGCCTTCTGAGCCTTTGAGAAGGCTCGCCTCTCGGACCACGCCTGCTTGTCCGCCCTCCGCTGACCCGGGTTTGGGAGCTGCTGAGCGGTTGGCCGGGATTCGCGCCGGGGCCTTGGCCAACCTGGGTTTGTGTTGATTCGGGTTAGTGTGTCCCCGAAGGCGCTGCGAGATGACTCCCCCAAGAGGGGGTTATAGCCCTACCCCTAAGACTGGCATCGCCATATCTCGATGCTGATCTCAAGGATTACCTTTATTTCTGAGGGCACATTTCCACGTCACTGAGGTTGTTCATCGCACTGGACCGGCACATTTTAGGGATAGGGATAAGCTCAAGGCTGCTTAGGCTTGGGGTGGTGGTGGTCGGAGCCGAAGGAGCGGCGCGTGCGGGCGGCTGCATCCCAGACCGCGCGGGTGAAGCAGTGGGTCGCCAACCCTCCCCTCCTCGCTTGCGGCGTGCGTCAAGGCGCGCGAGGACGCAGCAGCTGCACCACGTAGTGCGTAAGATGGTATGCATCCGTTCTGCCCCAGTGTCCCCGAGGACATTTCTCTTCCTCCTCCTCCCGGTTCTGCGTTGCTCGGGCAAGCTGCGCAGCTGTTGCGCCAGTGCGAGGTGGCCTGGACAAAGGCAAGTCATTCAAGTCCTGGACGACGTGGCACCGGTAAGACAGAAAGAGCAAGCTTGCCACAATACGGTTGGACTGAGGTACAAGATCGAGGTCGGCTCGGGGATGTGTACCCTGATGTTCTTCGTGTTTGTTGGATGCTCTTGTGCATCCTGGGGGATGGTACCATGGAGTGATCTTATGGGTTGGGGTGTTTGGGCCAGTGGAGGGTCTCATTTTCTTGAAGGATGTTCTTATGTTCTAGGGCCGACCGTAGTCGGTCGGGGTAAAGGACCGCAATACAGACGAACCTTTTTCCTCCTTCCTCCCCCTCCTACTACCTCCTCTTCCTCCTCCTCCTCCTCCTCCTCCTCCTCCTCACTGTCGCTATCGTCGCGTCTTCAAGGGCAATTTTGCCCCTTTTCCATCAGCCTGATGTTGATCTCTGCTGGCCGTCTGTAGGTCTTCTTGGGTGCAAGCCCGTTTGGACCACATGTTGTGTTGTCGGCACTGTCGTTCCGAAGTGCTCTAACAGCGCTGGTTTCGTTCGGGACGCTCTCCTGTTCCGAATCCAGCTGCTCCATGTCCGATTTTGGTGAGCTTAGGATGTGAAGTTTTGGCGTGCGAAGGTGTTGCAGCCCTTACGTGATGCCAGCGCCAAGCGGGCATCGTGCGGCGAGTTTTCAGCCGATCAGACGGAATCCATTTCGATCACCCCACTCGCAGACTCAGTGGAGGGATTGCGCAAGAGAGACGAGGGGATGACAAGACTGGCTTTGACGGTATCGATTGTGGATATGTTGTCCAACAGATACCTCAGGAGCGTTATTGTCAGTTCGGGAGATGAGATGGCGAGGGCCCGGTATCGTTCGTCGTGCACGCAGTCAGCCTGGCATCTGGTATTGTTGAGCGACTTGCGTACCGAGAGTTTTTCTATGTAGGGCGAGGTCCGCCTTTCGGGCCGAGCTGATGGCTCTCGAGACCGCGGTGCCATGTATGAACGGCTTGCATATAACAATCAGCAGGTACACGGCAAACGGTTGCTATTATCTAGACAGTTACACATGCTTTAGCGGCTCGATGAGGGAAGCTTGCGGGAGAAAGGGGGGGAGGTCGTACAGTCCCACCCCGCGCTCCGTCAGGACACTCCGCAGTTCGACTTCCAGACTCCGTCGGAAAGCTCGCCGCCTTGCCACGGCGAGTTTCCGGAGGCACCGCAGCGGGTAGGGCCTGTGCGAAGTTGATTATCCGTAAGCGCTTCGCCCCTGCCGCGGGCCCCCTCTTTCGGATGATGGGCTACGCAAGAGCTAAATCATGAGGCCTCGGCGCCGCCGTGAGGCAGTATCGGCAAGAGAACGTGAGAGTATGATGATATTGTTGAACTCAGTGTTGCATTTTGAACCTGCCCCCGTATGATGTGCACTGAGGTTTCCCACAGAATGCCGGACATGTGGCAAATCCCACTGGTTTTTCGACCCGGACACCGCCGATCTGCGTGAGGGGTGCCGCCGAATTTCAAACATGTGGCACATCCCATTGGTTTTTCCGACCCTGACTCCGTCGATCTGCATGAAGGGTGTCGTAGAATTTGAAAAATGTACAAAATTCCATTGGTTTTTCGACCCTGACCCCGCCGATCTGCGTGAGTGGCGCCGCCGGATTTCAGAACTGTGGCAAATCTCACAGGTTTTTCGACCCTGACCCCGTCGATCTGCGTGAGGGGCGCCACCGAATTTCAGAAATGTGGCAAATCCCATTGGTTTTTCGACCCTGACCCCGCCGATCTGCGTGAGGGGTGCCACCGAATTTCAGAAATGTAGGAAATCCCATTGGTTTTTCGATCTGACCCCGCCGATCTGTTCGAGGGGTGCCACCGAGTTTTAGAAACTTTGCAAATCCCATCGGTTTTTGGATTCTGATCCCGCCGATCTGCGTGAGGGGTGCCACCGAATTTCAGAAATTTGGCAAATCCCATTGGTTTTTGGACCCTGACCCCGCCAGTCTGTGTGAGGGGTGCCACTGAATTTCAGAAATGTAGCAACTCCTCTGTGTTTTTGGACTCTGACCCCGCCAATCTGCGTGAGGGGTGTCAATTTCGACCCCCCAGAAATTTTGAGACCCTTCCGGGAGGTGCTAACCAGGGCGGTTTTCGGTTCCCCCCTCGCGCGGTCTACAACAAGGAACAGTAAGCAAGAAGAAGCAGAACTGTAACAGTGGAAACTGGAAACTGGAACTGGCGCAGTGAACAGCAAACCCTCAGCCTACAGCCTGGTGGCCCCACAAGGGGGCCGGCCGGCGAATTTGATCATGGCACAAATATTTAAAGTGTAGAGCGAGGAAGCCGAGGACCAAGAGAGGGGAGGAGGCGGGTATGCCGTCGTCGAGAGGCGCTTGCGCCCGTGCGCAGAGGCAAACGCCAGGCAGGGGGCTGGTGCGAATGGTGGCAGCCAGTTTCCATGGTAATATTCATCGCTGTGTGGGAAGCGGGTCTTGACGGAAACGGGCCCTGAGGTTTTCAGCAGTTTGCGGGCTCTCGGGGCCCTTTGTGGGCCCTTGGACCGTCAGAAAACTGCTCAGGGTGAACAGCTCGTCATGAAGGAAGGCCCCGGGGGTCCGCCTCGGAGGAGAACGAGGAAGAGAGGTGAGCTTGCAGAATAGCACGGCGTCTGGCGCCCAGAAGTCGGATGAGGAGGCCCTCGGGCGCGGGGACGGCGCAGCGGGGCCGGGCGCAGGGACGGCAGCCCAACCCCCCCCCCGCGGTGCGCCGGCAGGGGCCGCAGGAGCACTCGGAGCGGCTGGCCGCGCTCGTGGAGCAGCACTGCGCCTTCCTGCGCGCCGGGCCCAGCCAGCTGGCCGGCCCGGAGGGGCAGCGAGGGCCGTTTTCCTCCTCCGCTTCCTCCTCCTCCTCGTCTTTCTCCTCCTCCTCCTCCTCCTCCTCCTTCTTGTCTTTCTCCTCCTCCTCCTCCTCCTCCTCCTCCTCTTCGTCCTTCTCCTCGTCTCCCTTTCCCTCCTGCAGCCGCGCTCGGCTTCCCTGGGTAACGTGGGGAGGGCTCGGCTCAGTGGGGGACGTATCGACTCCCAATCGTTTATTCATCGCTGGTATTGGCCCGATCCCACCTTGCTCGATGATCGCCCGATACGACCCCGCTAGCCCGATTCGCTACTGGGGGCCTCCGATTTCAGGTCGATGTTCCCCTCGCTGAGCTGCCCCCTTCCAACGTTGCTCTCAGCAGGGGCGGACGAGCAGCACGAGCCCAGGCCTCCGACTAGTTTTTTTTTTCCGCACCTGCTTGTTTAATTATTTTAAGGGCTTCGCCCTCTGCCGCCAGCCCCCCTATTACTAGTGTGGGCGGCTGCGCGGGGGTTTCCTTGGGGCCTCTTCGGGGTCTCCTTGGGGCCTCTTGGGGGTCTCCTGTGGGCCTCTTGGGGATCTCCTTGGGGCCTCTTGGAAACAATTACTTTGGGTCTCTTGGGACCTTCTTGGGCCCTCTTGGGGCCTCTTGGGACCTTCTTGGGGCCTCCTGGGGCCCTCGCGGGGCGGAAAGGTTGAGTTTTCGGTTCGTGAACTCCCTCTTTGGCCTCTCTTGGGACCGTCTTAGGGCCCTTTGGGCCGTCTGGGGCGCCTCTTGGACTGTCTTGGGGCCCTCTTCGACGGTCTTGGGACCGTCTTGGGGGCCTTTTGGGCCGCCATGGGGGCTTCTAGGACCGTCGTGGAGCGATCTTCGGAACCTCTCGGTCCGTCTCGGAGCGTCGGAATGCCGAAAAGGCGAGAGGGCCAAAACCCTTTGAAAACGCTATGAAAATAGTTTTTTTTTTTTTTTTTTTTTTTTTCTCGTGGGGTCCTCATGGGAGGCCTCTCGGAGACCGTTTGGGCCGTCTTGGGAGCATCTTGGGGTGTTTTGGGGTCATCGTGGGACATTTTGGGGCCATCTTGGGCAGTCTTGGCCTCCTGAGGCTCTCTTCGGAGCCCCTTCGGGCAATCTTGGAGGCCTCTCGGGCCGTTCTGGCCGCGCGGTGGCGTCACCATGAGAATCCTGGGGTTGCCCGGAGCAGCCTGTATTTCAGGTCCCTCCCCCCCGTTGGCTGTTTGGTGGCGCGGCGGGGCCCCGTATCAGACGGTGAACAGGAGGCAGGAAGCAGGACTGGAGAGACCAAAGGCCAAACGACAAATGGCGACACACAACGCATGGCAGCAGACCGCAGACACCTTCGCAGCCTTGCGCCCCCGGAGGGGGCCGGCGGATTTTTTGTTTTTTCTCTCTCTCTCTCTCACTCTCTCTCTCTCTCTCCATATATATATATATATGTATAATATAATACTATATATATATATATAAATATATATTGTTCTATAAAAGCGTGCCCTTCCTCGACGTCGGCCCCTGGGATCCGTTATCGGGCCCTGGGCAATCAAAGAGGGCTCCAGGACGCCACGCTGCCCCCGGGAGGGGGGCCAGGGCGCTCCGAGGCCGCGGAGGGCAGGGCCGGGGGAGCGCGGAGTACACCTCCGACGCGATCCGATCTTGCAGCCCCGCCGGCCTCCTTCTCCCCGAGTTCGGCCTCCAGGGCCCAGTGTCGGCCTTTCGGGCCGCCAGACATGGGTCAGGAGGGGAAAAAAGCACGCAGACACAATGAATCCTCGCCCCCCAGGAAAAGCTACGAAACTGTGGGAAGCGGGGCGGAACACAAAAACCCCGAAAATGTGGGAAAATATGGGGCATCTTGTTATTTGTGTGCCCCAGGGCCCCATCAATGGGTCTGGGGCGATGAGCTGGCCGGCCCAGGCGCCCACGAGCGGGGGACCGCCCCGAGGCCTTGGCGTCGCAGGTGCTCCACAGCGGGCGAGATCTCGCCCTGCTGCGGGCCCCCGCGGGGCCCTCGTCGCGCCTCGGTGCAGCTCGGAGCCCGCGGCAGGGAAGCTGGGGCCCGGGGCTCCGGTCGAGTTTGTGTCGCGATTTTTTGTTTTTTGTTGTTGGTCGCGTCGGATCTCAGGGTGTCGATTCTGGCACCCTTCCTTAGGGAAACAAGAAGTGGCATAAACATAAAAACTCGGAGGTCCGCGCGGATTTCTCGGATCGGCGCTGGGGCCCCCCAGCGGCGCCTCCGGCGCCGCTCCTGGCGCGCTCCGCGCGCCAGGGAGGGGGGTCCAGCGCCGATCCGAGAAATCCGCGCGGACCTCCGAGTGTTTATGTTTATGCCACTCTTTGTTCCCCCGTTCCTCGTGTTCGCCCTCTTGGGCCTCCTGGGTGGAGGGGGGGGGCCTCCGCCGCCACGGCCGGATTCGCCCCGGAGCCCTGGTCGGAGCCCGCCCTGGGAGAGTTCCGGGGGGCGCAGCAGCGGTATCGTTCTCGCGGCAGCGGGCCAGAGAGGGCCGGGCGAGGGGGTCTGCCTTCGAAGAGGAGGCCACGTGCGAGCCCTGCTCCACCACCCCACGATCTCTAAGGGGGCAGGTGGGGTTCGCTTCGCGCGGGAGGTCCCGAACGAAGTGGGCCCCACCTCCCCCCTTGCGAGATCGTGGAGTGGTGGGGTAGTGCTCGCACGTGGCCTCCTCGTCGAAGGGTGGGTTCCCTGCCTCTCGGAAGGCGCCTGGGGTGCGTGTGGCTTCAGGGGAGGGCGCTCCCTTCCGAGCGTCCCCGTGCCCCGCTTCGAAGAGGAAAAAACGCCATAAACATAAACTTTGGCGCTCCGCCCGGATTTCTTGGGCTCGCGCTGGGCCCCCCCTGGCGGCGCCTCCGGTGCCGCTCCTGGCGCGCTCCGCGCGCCAGGTAATTAGGAGGGTCCAGCGCAGATCCCAGAAATTCGCGCGGAGCGCCAGAAGTTTATGTTTATGTGGTGTTGTTCTTCTTCCACCGTTGCCCTCCTCCTCGTCTCGTCTGCAGCCGCGGCGCAGAAGGACCTCTCAGGGCTCGGGAGGGGCTCCGGTCTTCGAGCCGCTGCTCCTCAGCTCCGGGGCGGGGAGAAAGCCTGCTCGTGGCCGTGGCTCGCCGCGGCGGGAGGCCTTCCCTTTCGTGCCTCGTTCTGGCGTTCGCTGGGGTAGCACAAGGATCGTGCCCCTCCTCCCGCTGCTCCTGCATTCGGGACGATCGACATGGGTACTCACCACCCACCAAACCACCCCAACCCAACCCGTGGGGGGATCGGGGAACAGTGCAAAAACAAGGAACCCGTCCCTCCCCCCATCCGAAATTCGGGTCAAATTCGGGGCTTCGGGTTGGGTTGGGGTGGTCCGGTAGGTAGTCAGGTACGGGAAGCATGGGGAGAAAGACCGACAGCAGTTCCTGCTCGTTTTGAGCTGGACTCGCTGCCGGTGTCGCCACGGCCCGTGTCCACTTGATACCGAAGGCCGCCTGCCCGACAGCGGCCGCTGTCGATTTGGGGCAACATGTGCTGTTGGGCATTGTGCCAATTTTTCCATACCCCTTTCGGGCGTCTCAATGAGTCCTCCCCCCGCCCTCCTCCGATGCCCCCGTCCGCCCGGGGGCCGGGCGGAGGGGCCCGATGCCGAGGCCTCAATGGCTACAGTCTGCAGCACCACAGCACGGACAAGGCGGGGCGGCACCCTTCCCCTCCCCCTCGTGTCCCTCGGGGTTGGGGCGGAGCAGAAGGGGCAGGGGGGGCAGACGGGATGAGGAGGAGGAGGAGGAGGAGGAGGAGGAGGAGGAGGAGGAGGAGGAGGAGAGCAGAGATGAGAGAGAGCGTATAAGAAAAGCATGCCGGTCGGAGAAGGAGGATTTGAGAGGAGGAGGAGAGGAGGAGGAAGGCGAGGGGAGGGGGAGGGGGGCGAGGAGGAGGAGGAGGAGGAGAGGAGAGGAGTGAGGAGGAGAGAGGAGGAGGAGGAGAGGCGGAGGAGGAGGAATAGAGGAGGAGGCAAGAGAGAGCGGGATGAGAGGTAGGAGGAGGACCAGTGTAAACCCGAGACGCATCAACGATGTTGCTATCAACCTTCCCTCCAAGTTCCCTCGTCATAAGTCCCTACAAACCTTGATTTTCACTGCTGGTTGTGCCCCAATTGAAGAGACCCTTCTTGTGACGTCAACCAGAATAATCCGATACACGGCTGTCAATTTTAAGACGATGGTGCGTGGCGCGAAGGCGAGAACCACATGTTGAACAAGAGCCGCCCTCCAGATGTGATATTCTCGCGCCCTTTTAAGAGGGATGTGCGCGGCGCTACGGCGAGAGTCACATTTTGAAAACCACCCGCCCTCCATCTGGGAAACGCTTGCAAGTCTTTACGACGAATGTGGGCGAGGCTAATGCGAGAACCACGTTTTGAAAAGGAGCCGCCCTCAACCCGTGGAACTTTTAAACAGGACAATGTGCACGGCGCTGATGTGAGAGTTACGTTTTGAAAACGGCCTGAGGGCCTGCAAAATCCATGCCTGAGGATCATCAGCGGTATGAGAGTCTCAGGCAAAACGACCAACTCGTTCTACCGATATTTGTCGCGGGGTGCGACAGGGAGGAGGTATTTGTAAGGAACGTGATGGAGGATGATGAGCGGAAGGAGGAGGAGCAGGATGAGCAGGCGGATGATGATGATGTTGATGATCTTGCTGCTCCTGCTGCTGATGATGATGCTAATAGTGATGATGATGATTATGATTATGATGATGACGATGATGAT